ACAGCAAGCATGACACCCATAGAAATAAGTCATTGTGACTAATCATAGAGGATACTAACGTTTTTGTTGGAGTGAGCTTAGCGAACGCCATATGAAGGGAAAAAGTTTATTTGCATGTGAAGGAATGTGTGAGGCATTTGTTTACGTTGCAGTAGCGTTTTTTTGTGAAATACTGCGTCCAATTCCGGTTCGGAGTAGTGAGAAAAGGGAGCTTGGCGAAGAAACGATGAGATTTGGGCTTATCTAATGTCAGTCGAACTTTTGAGAACTTCTCAAACTACAAGCCTTTGCGACAGCCATGCAATGAAAATTTTCACGTCAATTTGGATTTTTGAAAGTTTTGAGTTGATTAGGAGCGAACACAGATTACTCACTTTTCCACCCACTACTGAAATGTGTTCAAACTGAACAATGCCTCAAAAGGCGCGAATTTTTTGCGAAGCGACGCCGCAACGTAATTCAGCCCTTACAACAGCAGCGCTCTGGAGCCTCTTACTTATAGCATTAAATCATGTATCTGTCCCCATCCTCACCCCCCTGTTTTTGCCGCCGGGAATCTCTATTGGCGGAGAGTCTTGGAGGCCCCAAGATTTGAACGCGGCGTGTGCGGAAGAGTGGCCGCCGCGCGCGGCGTACCTCCTGACGTGCAGCCCCTTAAAAGTATTCTGTAGAAGAAGTAAAGTTGGGCTAATTTTAGACACCAGATTACACCTTTTGAGAGTTTGTTACTATTTTCAATTATACGAGACATAAGTTTCGTAAATCGGACAAGCATTCATATTCTCTATAGTTTGGTTTAAAATGGGATTTTGCCCAAAACTCGTACCTTTAAATGTAAACGCTTCAGTCCTTGTTCCATTTGATAGTAGCAGTCCAAGCAAAATTGCTTCTTTTCTCTTTGGCATGTGTCTACTTATTAGAATTAGACCGAGACACCGTCGTACAAATAGTGCTAAGCATTTTTCGTGACTCCGAATGCTCTATTTTCTTACACGGTGCAGAAGCTTTGCTTTGTGTGTGAAAATAAAAGCCGTGTAGTATTGTAATTGAAAATTTATTTGAGTTCATTTAACATTTCAAACTATATACATATATTTCAACGAAATTGTGCAATACAAGCTACTCTATTCTTCCACGACTGCAAAAAAATTCATTGAGGTTATCACGTTCTGCCAAGTTTTTTTTATAGGATCACCCTTTTCATCAGAAATGATACCATCGCGTTTCGATTCATTTAGCTCTTCAAATTGCAAAATTGATTATTCAGGCATAAGCAAAGATATTACCTAGAGTTGAATTTCTGAATCTTGAATCGGAATCTCGCAAACAAGCATGTGTGTGCGCTCAGTCAAAACTTGAAAGGATTGTTGCAGAAGATTTTTTTGCGCAAAGACTTCCCCTGCGCGGTTTCTCATATACAAATGACCTATTGGCACTTACCAAAGTAGGGAATAATGAAAGGTCTTGACGGGTTTTGCGAAGAAGGTACTAACATCGCTCTCGCACATGCCTGAGGGTGTTTGTTGAACAAGAGACTAAAAAAACTTGTGGTATACTGATTCGGTAGCGAATATTAGTCAGTTATTGTGTTGTAATTGTTCTCGGTACCCTGTTTCAGTCCGATGTTCGCGCGAGAACAGTGGTAATGGCACTGATACCTTTGTTGCACTAAAGAAGAAACTTTTTGTAAAGATTTTATATCGTTTGTACAGTTTCTTGTTGGACAAGGGACAAAACTTTTGAAGTTACCGGAATTATAGGTCTGCAGTGAATAATGACAATTTTTGGTCCTAACTTGCATCTGCGGTTTGGGTGCATATTACGTGCGCAATTACTGACATAGCGTATTGAGCGCACTTGCAGAATGAATTTTTTTACTGTACAATTTTACATTTCAATTTCACTTTAACATTATCATGCCTTCTCTACTTTTAAGCAAGATACCTACTTTCAAACCTATTTTTCATTCCATCCCAATCGAAGTTTTCACATGGGAACGTCGCATATACAGTTCAATTTATACCTAATCTGGATAAAAATGCAGTGAATTCTTGTCATTTTGATCGATCTTAGCCTTCTCCCTGCTGTTCTTGTATATGCGACGAAGAGATTTCCATACATTGTTGACGATAATTAAACTAGTTCTGCTACTTCCTTGTTCTACCAAACGCGTCGTTTTTGTAAGACTTCGAAAACTCCTAGGTTTGAATTTGTGTGTTTTGAAGGCGGTAGCACAAAATCTATACAGGGACTAGATTGAACAAAATCTTACATTTTGAGATTGTGATGTTGTATTGACTGGATGGGTTGCATGGCAAAGGAGCTAGCTTTCATCATTTTGCAGGAAATGAGGAATAAAGTCAGAAAATTCTTTCCACTAGACAGGGGCGAATTTCCGGCACACAGTTTACGGCCTTCTCCACCAAACGCACTACTCATTTTATAAGAAAAGACCTATCTGTATGTGAACGAGCTAGGGTAGTGAGAAGCAGTCTACGAAAAAGATCTGAACATAGAAGCAACTCTTCGATTGCTCAGCTTAGCGCATAGTGTACAAATAATATACAAAAGACAATTACCGCAAGCGTGTCAGCTACTATTCCCATTTGAAATTTTCGACTTGTCAAAAAGTTGGTTTTGGAAGTTTTGTGCTCACGAGTCTAGTGGCCGGACTTTATAGCAGTTTTGAGTACTGCTTCTTATACCTCTTTTCTATACTTTCTAGTTTCCACGGAAGCCTATACTATCCTGCTTTCCGCTTGTCAAGCGCTTTTAGATTGTATGACATAAACGACGGCACAAAGTAGCATCAAAAGTAAACACTCAACCCTCAGAACCTACTTTTGCTTGTTTACATTTTCGTTCAAGAACACATGACAAGTCAACAAGTTTCGGTCACTGCATATACATATCCCAATGTGGAACCACTCATCAAGCTAACTGAATGTATATACAATTGTTTCTTGTGTCCATAAACAGCTGGAAAGGGCGAAATCTGTGAGAAATGATGCATGCATCATATTTTCATCAAATATGCAGCATTATAAATATTAAGGCTAAAGAAAGCGATATTTGAGGGTTTGGGCGGTGATCTACATCGCTTCTTTGTATTCCAAATCGCCCGTCCAATAGCGAAACTTTCTTCAAGGGAGGAGGGAGGCAAATAGTAATTTGCCACTGAAACGGTGTAGTGTTAACCACAACCTTCGCTAAAAGCTTTAGATGCCTTTTATTTCAGAAATCAGGAAAAAGGGCGCTACAAAAACGTCCTAGGAAATTCTTACAAGTCTAATTTAGTTTTTTGAGAATCTGAATTATAATTTCATACAGTTAGAATGAAAGTAAACAACTTGCGCAATTTTATAACTGTGTGCGCACATTTCTCCTTTTTCAGCAGGTTAGGCTGCTTTGAGTGCGCTTAGGTTTTTCGGCTTTTCAATTTCGAAAACGGAAAAACCAGAATGACGAAATTCAATACTAGATTAAGCGTCTATTTAAAACCCATTTTAGAGAAATGCGCTTCAAAGCCAGTTTGCAAAAGAGCCGTACATTTCTGCAGAAATAATTGTTATTCTATGTTAGCGTGCAATTTTGCGAAGTCTGCAAAGCAAGGCTGAACTATTTCTTGTTTTGTGCAGAAACAGACCCAATCTGATATACAAGGGACATAAATCTAGTCAAGTCTTGTGCGAACGTTACCATTGTGCAAGTCTTCTCTACAGCACTTCAGTCTTGTGCAAACCTCACCATTTTTTCTGTGAGTCTTCTCTAACAACAGGACATTCAAATTTTTTGAATGCTGTATAGTTCGAGTAATGCCTTGTAATATTGAATAATGTCGCTGAGCAGTCAATTTGGACTGTTAATAACGTAGTAGTTAGGGAATTTATCATTGTTGTAATATATGTATTTTGCAGAAAAAATGAATTGGGCCACTTATCGCAGAAGATACAATGTCTCGAATTTTTTTTACTCACGGGTACGAAACGTAAGAGCAGGACATGACCAAAGCATAAGCAAAAATTATAACTTCACGTGCCGTTACGATTGTAAGTTTGAACAACAAATATCGTCAAATAGTGTGACAATGCTGATGAGTGTTCGTATCAGAATGAATCCTCACATCGACAAATGTGACAATTCAATGAGTGAAGATACTTTAGCTAATAAGCAAGCTGCGTAGATAGATAGTCAGTCATGCTGGGAAAAGGCCATCTTGTTGCCAAAATTGAATCAAGCTTACAATTGGATGGAAACTTGTAAAACAAAGAGAACAGCATCAAGTGTTTCTCAGAATTATCGAAGATTCAAGAAGGCAATGTTTTTTCTCTTAAAGGCAGTAGGTCGGCAAAACTCGACAATTCAGGATTTCAACGCGGTGAGCTCCTTATCGCCCAAGTTTGAAAACAGTGCAATACCGGTTGCACTGCATGCCTTCCCTGCCGAGAAAATTGCTCTCAAACTTACAACGCGCAGACTAATCTTACACGCATCCGGACGATTAGCAAATTCCTTCTCACCATTGGAGGCTGCCCGCCGCAATGCTGTGACCAATGGGTCCTGCAACGATTCAGCATCATCAGCCTTGCTCCACTCGTCCAATTCCAAAAAGAAGGGCATTGAAAAACGCTCGTTTTCGCCGTTTTCAAGCTCTCAAAAGTGCATTTTCGGAATCAGCGTATTAAATAACCCTAGGTAAGCGAAAATTTCACTAGGTTGAGATTTGCCGAGCCACTGCCTTTAAGTTCCCTGTAAGCATTTCTTCACGCAATAATGTTGTTCAATAAGCAGATAGAAGGCAACGAACTAGTACATCATTTTGCACCGCTGTTACTGTTGTTAAACGTGCTTCTCCTCCGCAGATAAAACATAATGTGGTCTTTTTATTTTAAAAAATAAAATTTTTAATGTATTTATCACTATGTACAAGCTATTATGACAAAAATGAGTATTGCTCAAAACCCGTTTGTGAGTAAAAAAATAACGTCATAACGAAAATGTGTCTACACAAAGAAACTTCTCACAAAAAAGAATTCAACGAACTGAACAGAATGAATAACAGCAAACTCATGAAGGAAATACGTTGAATTAACTTATGAAGATACTTGTCAAATCTCAGACGAGAAGAGAAGAAAAAGAGAAAGGGAAAGGATCGAGACAAGTTAATTAGAGACTTCACTAACGATACGGTGAAGCATTACACAATGCGACTTTGCATGAACCTAGGATTTGAAAGTACTGCAGTATATGGTGGACTCCTCAAAGCTACTGCAGTATATGGTGGACTCCTTAAAGCATCTCATAGGCCATTCGTATGAAAATAGCGTGAGGAAAAAGGAGAAATTATGGGAAGACTAGTGAGTTGGTGCGCGTAATCGTGACACGCACAGCTTAAATTCGTGAGAATTCCCCAAAAGTGTCGAATAGGAGTTCGTCCTCTTCCATTATGGTCGGCATAGGTTCAATTTGGGAGCATAGCGACGATGATAGTGATGTTCTGAAAATGAAGACATCAGTCAAACTCTTTTCATACCATATGTTCTTTTTTTAGATAAAGTCTTAAATGGGCTGCTTATCATGCCCTAGGAGAATGGTGCAAATCTAGTGATTTGCAAAAAGATGTTGGGGCCCCTGGAGTCGATAGACGTTCTTTCGGTTGCGGTGAGCACGCACAAAATTTGCACTAAAAATTTATCAAGATTTGCATCTCATGAATGTTACAACAAATGCAAGAGGAGTAACGGATAAGACCAGATAAGGTTTTGGAATGCAAAATGGTCATAAGTCCACCTCGCCATTTGAGATCATGTGAGTGTTTTCCACATTAATGTTGCAGTACTAGGGTTTGCATGTTGAATCTGCCTAAGTAAAATTTATGCATGTAATGTATCAGATGATAGGAGAAGGCACGTTTTGAAATGCACTGATCGTCATGTGGTCAGCGATTAGCATTTGTAATTGTGTATGAATCTCATTTTGTTTCATACAGAAATCAAAAAGAATCTGATTGGTCAAGTGATTAACCTATACATATTGGGTTAGATAAGCAGATAATGCTTATTTAGTAAAAAAAAATTGTCGTATGCTCACCAGCGCCGGTTGTGAAGTCGTATTATTTTCTTATGATGTGCAGAAACTCGACGCAATGTTTTTCTGTGGTGGTTAGGATGATTGCGGTTATATTTTCTGTTCTTTCTACTTTTACTAGCAATTTAAATTCCTAGTGATAGAAAATCACATTTGAGTAGGTTCTTCTGACTGGTAGCTTGAACTTTTAATTAAAGCAGCCTCTTTGCATGGCAGCAAAGAATGCTCTTGATTGATTAGAAATGCCTTGAATAGCTATTAAAAATTGGATGCTCACCGCTGTCGCTGTTTTTTTCTCTCCTCACAGATTTGCGTCAAGCATGGTTTCGAGGAATGCACTTGATCTGAAGGAAACATATATTATATTACTACATCGAAAAGAAGATCATTGAAATATGTTCACAATTGCAAAATAACTCCACAGATTTTCTGCGGCTGTAAAAACAAATTTTTTCAGACTTGAGGAGCAGGAAAAATCTCGATATTAATCACATTTTTGGGTCTATTTTTGACAAAATCGTCACTACATTTGGTGGAAAATGCTGTTTATAGGCCTGAGCCAAGTGGCCAACTATTTTTATAACTCATTACGCCACAGCCTACCCGAATGTTTACATATAGCTATATAGGCTGGTGAGGAAAGGAGTGGCTCTTTCAGAGAAGATGAAAAACTCAGCTAAAAGCGCTTGTTTATGCATCTCAACGGGGTAAGTTTTCACGCTTGGTCAACGCTATACAATAGCGTAAATCACTTCTTATTCACATAAGCGTTGGAATAGGGCGAGCCTCGTGGAGAAATTCGCACAGAGTTGCTATTTCCAGCCCCGCAAAACACCCGTGGACCAGAGAGTATACGGACAAATACAAACTTTCTAATAAAGATTTGGTTTGGGGCAAATGTAGTATTTGGGGCAAAAGTTTGAAACTGCACCTTATCAACATTCAAGATTGAGTTTTGAACTCAAATGATGCAAGAATGATGATTGAAGATCCTTAGAAGTGGGGCTTGGAACAGTTTTGGTGTTTGTTAGGCAAGAATTGCACAAAGGTGACAAATATGGAACAACCCGCTAAGGAGATAATTTTTTGTCCGAAGTTAATTCATAAATAGTTGTCATAGGTCATCATCATTCTACAGATCACATTGACTAGCTTCAGTCAAGGTCACTAACTTATTTGAAGAAGACGTTTCGAACAACAGACCACGTAATAATTCGCGCACAAATCAACTAATTGGAATTTATGCGAACAGTAGTTTAAGCATAAACAGACATGTTGCTTATACTAACTAGTATGAGAAACATTTCACGTCACAAATCGCTGAAGTTCTAAAATTGACCTCGAATAAAAGTAAAAGAAACCACTTGATCAAAAGTTGGAACCTTTTAAGATACAGAAAGTGAGAGAAAACACAGATCAACACTGAAAGAGAGAGGTAAGAGAAAAGTTCTAAATATTGTAATGTAAGAGATCTTGCTAGTAGAAATGAGAGCATGGTTGAGAAAAGTATGGGTAGAACTGATTCAACACACATTTCAAATCATAGAGTTAGGTTCCTAGAAGTATGTACTCGTAAAGTCTGAGTTAAAATCAACTTACTTCCTTTGCCGACAAGCTTCATCAGTTTAACGAAGAACTTTCTTCTCTTCACTGACATTGTAACTGTTTGAATACAGTAGTTGAATGAAGACAAGCGAACGTTCGGTACGCTACAGCTGCGACGATTTATTCACTGAAAACGGATGAGACACCCTCTGAAGGCGGAGCCGTGGCAGGAAATGGCCCCGCCCCTGAAGGCGGCGGCTATCTCTGCGATGGAAGCAGTAAAATATACACAACAAAGAATGCAAGAAATAGTGTCATAATGATAAGATAACGAATCGTTTAATGACTATCTATCGGACAGAGATTCATGTTGGGAAAACATTGCTTCAGCCATGTTCTAAACGCAGTAAGGTCCCAGCCTGAAAAATTGACTGAAATTTTCAAAATATACCAGTATTTCGTGCAGAGGGTCAACTACAAAGTGACATCAGTAAATAAGGAAAAAATGCCAGTTTGAGTTAACAATTGAAGGTGAATTGTTTATCATTAGACGCGTCTTCAAGCGCTAATTTCAAATCTGCTTTTTTTAAACACAACTCTTCGAAAAAAGTTACGAGTGTTTAGAAGTCCAAATTTATCAAGCTTCAGCTGACACAAAATCAACGAAAAGCTCTATAAAAAACCTATGCGGACCAGTTGCAGTCAAGCTACTTGACAAAATTGTTTACCCACTTTTAGATAATTTAGTGCAGCTTTTCTTTGATTTTCTGTCCCTTAATGCTCAACAAATTTAGACTTTCAGACACTCACCATTTCTTTCGGAAACTTGCTCTTCAAAAAAAGGAAAGCATGGAATCAGCATTTGAAGACGCGTCTATTTACGATTCGTTTCAAAATAAAATTTAGAACGATGCCTCAAGTTGGAAACCTCCCTTCCTAGCAGCATAGAAAGACTAGAAATTACACCCCGGAACATACAACCTAATTATTTAAAACGAAAACATTGGTGTTCAAGAAATGATTGATTTCTTTATTTGAATGTACTTTGTGAACAAAAGGCTGACAGCAGCTTTATAATTGCTAGTTGTGTGCTTTATTGTCAAGGTTCGCACTTTAATTCACAGGTAAAAGTGTTACACAAAGTGGCAAAAAGAGAAAAAAGCATAGCAGCAGTTGATGAATCTAAGTAACATCGCTGCATCTTACGTTTTCATCAAACAATCAATTATTAACTGTTCGTTTATGAAAGTGCTAGAGATGGTAAGAAACGATGATGACAAGTTGAAATGACAGATTTTTTTTTGAAGATTACTGACATTAAATGCAGCGTCCAGGCAAATACGGACATATGGTGATCTCACGTGGATAGTAATTTTAGGGCCCTAACTAAGCCGCTGAAACCGCAGCTCAGGTAGTGCTCTAACGGCTGAGATATTCCCTTAAAACTGGACCCCAGGACCGTAATTCGCATGGATTCATGGCGCAACCCATGAGTTTCACATGGTCTTCGTCAGAACTGTTGAGTTATGCGATGAGTTCATGCGAAATACGATCCTGGAGTCCAGTTTCGAGGGGGATATCTCAGCCGTTTGAGCATTACCTGAGCTGCGGTTGAGCAGTGGCTTAGTTAGGGCCTTAAAATTACTATCCACGTGAGATCCCCATAGGTCCAGATTTGCATGGACGCTGCCTTTGAGACTATAAAAATCCTTTTTTGAAGTTACTGTTATTAATGATTCAATAATTTCACGCATCTTTGATTGCGACTGAAATTACGTAATTATAGTAGAGCTGATGAGGTTTCTGTAGCCCTTTAGAACAGTCTTTGTACCCTGAAAGAAGATGGGTTCGTTGCGCGTTTCTACATTATGTTGTAGCTATAAAGTGAAACAACTGTAACAGGTAGCAATAAGATAGAAACTTTGTCTGTATCCAGACTTATAAAGATAACCTTAGCGTCAAACGAAAAACAAGCTTTTCACCAACAATTTTGAGAATTTTAAAAGCACCAGTATGACCTGTGGTGACATCATGATTTGATCAATTGTTGTGTTCCATACCATACAAAAATGACTCACTCTTTCCCAAATGAATTACCAACGATATTTAGTCAAAGAAAGCTTGGGAAGGAAGGGGGTGAGGGGGAGGGGGGGTTGGGAAGATGAGCAGCTCACAGGCAAGTCGACAAGACCACAATTTGCGTTCAGCTTGACTTCTTCGTTTCTATCTCACGTTGGTTAATAATGGCATCTCACGCAACCTCAATCAATTCCATTGCTCATGCAGTGTCTGATTGGGTTCCGAGCTTGATAACTCAACTTCTCTGTTTCTTCAACTCAAATCTATAGTCATTCTCATGACACTCAAATCGATAGATCTTTGCTGCCTTTCTTCATGACATAAGATATTAAATCGCTTTACAAGCATTTTTACATTTGTCGCGAGATCGACGTTGGATTCTCAACCCAATAAATATATATGACCAAAATTTTTTTTATCTTGTTTGATAGCATCTGCACTAATTAATGCCGATGTAAACCTTATCTGATTTCGGTCTAACATAGCAAACATTGTTTGCAAGATGAGGTTTTTTCAAACATTTTTGTAAGCCCATAGTACTTTAACTGTAACAAATTTCAAAAATGTGCACGTTGAGGAATTCTAAGGCATGACATGACACATGTGATGAAAACAATAAGCCTTATCAGCGGCATGGAAAGAAGCAGCACGTGCGACATAAAAATGGATTATGACGAAATACTGTAACGAATGAAATGGGGGTGGTACAGGAGGAACCAAAGGGCTGCCGCCTATATCCGCAGGAGATAATTAAGAGCGCGAGCGTTGTGGAGAATATTTTGGCAGGGATCCAAGAAAACTCGGCAAGGACATCCTTTAGGAAGAAATCTTCATAACTTCGACTGGAGATGACTTTGAAAAATTTAAAAAACATATTTGTAATCAAAATTGGAAGGTGCGTTCACTGGGCCTAAAAGTAAATGAAAATTTGGAATTGAAGTGGTAACAAAAGTCAACTACCTTATAGAAACTTTTTGTTTTGAATTTTGAAGTTTCAAGTTGTTGAAATCCGGGGTTTCCATTCAAAATTCTTTTTCGAGATAAAAAATTGTTTTACCTTTTGATTCAATGAAAAGCAATTAAAATGCCATAAGAACACATCTGGAGGTTTGTGTCAAAATGCAATATGCAGTTTGTCTCATAGCTTTAAAAACATTCTAATTTTAAATTTTGACATTAGAGACTCCATAATTTGCCATTGAAACTAGGTCGGTAATCCTTTAGGTCGTACACAGTAGCAAAAGTTCATCACATGCAACTTAGTTAACATTATTTCCTTATTACCATTTCATGCTTGCCACCTCGTATCCAGAAATTTCACTAAAATTCAGTTGGAATTTTCACCCAACACTTAACTTGAAATTTCAGTTTAGAATGGTGAATTTTGAAGGCACAGTTTTTGTTAAAAATAGTTGCGAGAGTTGTTCAACTATCCGGTAAGCGTATTATTGAAAAATGCGCATTTCATTACTGATTCCAAATCTGTCCTTCGTATCCTTGAAACTTGATTCCAAGGAGAGTTATAAGGGTTTATTTTTAATGGATGTCCTGGCCAAGTTTTCCTGGATCCTTGCCAAAATTTGCTCCACAGCGCTCGCCCTCCTAATTATCTCCTACGGCTACAGGCGGCAGCCCTTTGGTTCCTCCTGCACCGCATCCGAATGAAATTACGGAACTAGTATTCAACATTAGAAGAACATTTCAAAATGCCGACGTAATTTGAAAATAAACAACAGCAAATATGGACCACGATCATAACTTAGGATTAAGGTACATCCGCCCTCTCAGCAAGCTAAGCAGGGAATGTTCAGAACTTAACTCAGCCATACCAGACATGCTGTATATCATCGGACTCGTATTGAAATGCTGATCACAAATACATGTTTATTATCTGCCAAGTTACTAAGGAGTAATTATAAGCGTTTGAATGTGTGATTTGTCAAGTGTTCTGTGGCGCATGTTCCACGAAATAGGTTTCAAAAACACTTATTTAGGTTTTCGATGAATGTGGTTTTCCCTTTTAATCAAAATAACCATAGCCACTGTAAAGCCGCGCCATCACGCTACCTTCCAAGGAAATATATTCGTCGAAACTTGAAGAGTTTTTCATATTTCAACGCTCATAACTGCTCGTTAGTCGCTTGGCAGATAAAAAACATATATTTGGATTCGGCGCTTCGAGGCCAAGTCCGATGATATACGCTTGTCTGGAATGGCTGGGTTAAGTCCTGACCATTTCCTCGTAAGATGTCTCACAAGGGAACAATCCCAAGTTAAGGTGAAGAATTGGATTGAACCGCACATCATCAGATCTGCGATGCCGTTCTCCGCAAAGAGTTATGAGCGGTTGAAAATGTGAAGTCAATGGGGTTTCAATGCATAATATGCTTCAAAATCAACTTGGGAGTGTGTGACTAGCATCACATTGAGTGTACGGATTTCAAGAAATGCTAACATTTAAAAGAAACAATAAGTGTTTTCGAAGAACTAAGAAGCAACCAAAGTTCTTTGGTAAAAGCTATGTGCAATGAAAAGTCAAATTTGGCAAGTATACAGCGCCATACCTCGAAAATTAGTCGTCCAAAAAATGTGTATTTGTGTTTCTTTTGAATGTGAGCGTTCCTTGAAATTAGTGCACTCAGTATCATGCTAATCAACACTCCCAAGTTGGATTTTGAAGCACATTATGCATTGAAACCCTGTTGACTTCACATTTCCAACTGCTCATAACTTTTTGCAGAGAACGGCATCACAAATATAAAAGGTAGATTTGTAATCAGCATCAAGACGCATCTGATGATATGCGAATCATTCCAATTCGCCACCTTAAGTTGGGATCGTTTCCTTGTCAGAAAACAAAATCCCTGATTGACATTTTCATCTCATTCTTCAAGTTGGCGGTTGTAAGAAGTTTTGCTTTTAAGTTTCGATCAAAAATTTTTCGGTACCGTGGAGCTCAAGAATACTTCGCGAGTTATAAGTTCTCATTACATAAAGCGTATTTACAGGAAATCCCAGAGAACCCGAAGCGACTCTGAACAAAGATGTTGCGCCTGATAAAGTCCACTGCGGCAGAACTTTTCTCAGCGGTTCTCAGACAATCGAAGGGATACCTCCGGCGGGCATATGGCGCGAGTCTGCCACTTCGCGCTCCAGCCCTGCCATTTCA